TTTTTTCCATTTTGTGTTTGTGCAGGTACGCTGTGGCTGAGTCCGACTGCAACCTGGCAATTGCTCTTGACAGCAAGTATTTCAAAGCGTACGCGCGGAGAGGAGCAGCGCGGTTTGCGCTGAAGAAGTACGAACCTGCATTAGAAGGTAACAAGCGTACCAACAAGACAGTATATTTGAATTTGAGCGCCCTTAGATGACAGTAAAAATATCCTCTGTAGACTACGAGATGGTTCTCAAGCTCGAGCCTGACAACACGGAGGCACAGAATGAAATAAAGAAAATCAGAGAGGTGGGTTAGTGCACAATGTGTGTTTGTGTGCACACAGTCAACTTGGCGGTTCATCCTCTTTGATCTTCTCCTGTGTCCGCTTCAGGCCCTTGGACATCAGGTGGCTGCCGTCGCAAGCAAAGCTGCAGAGCCCCTGGAGGCCCCTGCAGTCGATCCTGATCAACAGAGACGGATAGAGGAGCAGCAGAGGAGACAGGAGGCGGTTTTCCAGAAGGACAGAGTAGGATTTTTGATGATGATTCATGAAGGTTTTCATGATTTTAGCAGTGTTTCTGCTTTCTTCCAAAAGATCTTAAGTGATGAGGGTTATTGTGTCTCTAGGGGAATGCCTACTTCAAAGAAGGGAAGTATGAAGCAGCTGTAGAGTGCTACACCCGAGGCATGGAGGCAGACCACATGAACGTGCTGCTGCCCGCCAACAGAGCCATGGCTTATCTCAAGCTGGAGAAGTAAGGATGATTTTTCTTGACACACATTAAAAAGGCCTTTTTGTTTCTGACTGGCTTTGTTTTTCCTTTCCTTCTGCTGCAGGTTTAAGGAGGCGGAGGAGGACTGCACTAAAGCCATTTTCCTGGACATTACTTACTCCAAGGCTTTCGCCCGGAGAGGTACAGCCAGAGTGGCACTAGGAAGGCTGGAAGAGGCCAGACAAGGTGCAGTGTGTTTGTGTTTTTATGAGCCCAAAAAACGACATTGTGTCTTCTGTCTGTTTGCTGTTGGGTTGGTTTTAATGTTCACTTCTGTTTGTGTGTGTCACAGACTTTCAGCAGCTGTTGAAACTGGAACCTGGAAACAAGCAAGCCCTAAACGAACTCCAGAAACTGCAGCTGGTATGTGTCAAAATCCAGTCATTAGGCCAAAACTACGAAGTAGTCATAGAAGAAGAAAAGCAATTAAATAATGAGTCAAAAGCATTAGCTCCATTAGCTTCTGATGTCTTTATTGGGCTTGAGATTTTTCTCCTCTCACTTTAGTCTTTCTCCTGGTGTTAGGACACAGGCTCCAGTGGCCGTCTGCAGGCTGTGATCGGCTCACAGATGAGAACAGTCCAACCAATAGACAAACCAACACACCTTCGCTCAACCGTGAGTAGCAAATGTCTGTTTAAAAAGCATTTCCTG